TTCTGTTTTCTCAAAAAATAAAAGTAAAGACATTTCCAATAAATGAGAGTTAACAATTTTGTTAAGGAAGAAAAGCTTTTCATGGATCTTGCAGCAGAATTCCTCAGAGGCCCCATTTTTGTTCAGCTATGGTGGGCTGCATGGCAAGGAAGACGAGGACCTGGCATCTCATCCTCTGGAACAAAGTTTCTGTCATCAGGGCGAAGAGGAATCAGTTGTGTAGACATCCAGCCGTGAATTAAATTGTGTAATCAGGAAAAAGTGACAAAGCTCTTTGTTATTTGGTACATAGGTGCAAGAAAAGCAGAAAATAAGTCCTTTGTTGTTAGCTTGACCATCAGCCAATTCTTAGAAGGCTTTATAGAAAGCCTTTGGACATGGCATTGTATTTCTTCCCTATGCATTCAGTGCTGGCCACTGGGCATACGAAATTAAAGAATACATCTTGACCTCAGTCTGCTGGAAAGATAAACAGACAGCTCTTACAGGTTGTCAGTGACCATCTTCTAGGCAGTGTGCCATCTTTTTCATAGAACAAATGGATTTCCTTTAGAAACACCGGTTAGGAAGCAGTTAACTCAACTGGGATCATCAGGGAATGTTTTACAGAATAATAGTAACAGCAGCAATGATTCTCCTTTATTGAGGGCCAGGTGCTGTCCTGAGTGCTTTCAACTCTTCCATCAATCTTATGTGTTAAGAGTTATTCTTGTTTTTATAAATTTTGAAACTGAGGGCTTATATAAGGAAATTGCCTGAGGGCATTCAATTAGTAAGGGGCAAAGTCAGGATGTAAATCTAGGACAGCCTGACTCCACAGCCTGTGTGCTTACCCATATGCAACAAGGGCTCTGGACTGACTCGCAGTCTCTTGATTAAAGCATATCACCTTTCCAGTGGGTTATACCGTATTTTTCGGACCATAAGACGCACCGGACCATAAGACGCACCAGTTTTTAGAGAAGGGAAATGAAGAAAAAAAGATTCTGAAACAAATAGTGTCCTAAAATATTTTATGTGCATTAAAACCCAACATCACAGTCATAAACACATGTAATCAACCCTGTAAAGTAAACAGCAGCATTTAGAACCATTTTAGAGCCGGGCAAGCACACAGAGACCACACAGAGCCGGGCAAGTAAAAAAACTTTTTTTTTTAAAGTATATGTGTAGGCTATATTTGGACCATAAGACGCAGGGACTTTTCCCCCCCACTTCTGGGGGGAAAAAGGTGCGTCTTATGGTCCGAAAAATACGGTAAGTTAACCCACACCAGGTATTTTTGGAAGAGTTACGTGTTTGCCTTATTTACGTCTGTTATAGTTTTACAAGTATTCCCATGGGGAAACCACTCACTAAATTGTAAATTAAAATAATTCAGGTCACCTGCAGGAGAATGTTGACTCCTTGTTTGGTGTGTTTACCTTTAATTTACTCATGTAACCTCTAGAAGTCCAAGAGCAATTTAATTGACTGGTCATTTTACGAGACAAAATTAGAACTGGCCACTGCCACCAACCACATGCTCTGTGACCCAATAAGGTGCTAAGTTTTCTGGCTTCAGTTTCCTCTTGTTTTAAGAGTAGGGAGCTGGTTGGATTAAATGATCTGAGCTTCCTTAAATATTAAAATTAAGCCATGCATTCGATGTTTGTGGACCTTTTGGTGTTTGAATTATTTAAATGCCTAGACATACATACTTAATGAGCAAAGTGAGTTTCCCTAAATTCAGAGAACTTAGACTGCTCTTTCAGTTTAATGCTGTGCAAGCAGCCATTCATTTGCATGCAGCAGAAAAGATTTTTCATTTAAGTAGAGTTGCAAAGTAGTTACCGTATTTTTCGGACCATAAGACGCACCTTTTTCCCCCCAGAAGTGGGGGGGAAAAGTCCCTGCGTCTTATGGTCCAAATATAGCCTACACATATATTGTACTTTAAAAAAAAAGTTTTTTTACTTGCCCGGCTCTGTGTGGTCTCTGTGTGCTTGCCCGGCTCTAAAATGGTTCTAAATGCTGCTGTTTACTTTACAGGGTTGATTACATGTGTTTATGACTGTGATGTTGGGTTTTAATGCACATAAAATATTTTAGGACACTATTTGTTTCAGAATCTTTTTTTCTTCATTTCCCTTCTCTAAAAACTGGTGCGTCTTATGGTCCGGTGCGTCTTATGGTCCGAAAAATACGGTAATTGACGGTAAAATTCTGACCTCAATAAATATTCTGAGTCTGAACTAGTAAAGGTATTTTGTGTGACTACGGTGAAGGGGCAGGGGGGAGTGGGCAGAATCTTCTTTATTTTATTTTATTGTGGCTCAATGCACATAGAATTAATGCTACAGCAGAACAGGGTATAGTTATACGATCGTGGGGTCCTCTCTATTCAGCTGGCAAATGGGGAGAGAAGAACTAAGCACTCAGGAGTCTTGTTGGCGTTCCTCAGCCGGAAATGGCACACATCACTTTGGCTCTCATGCCTTTGGCCAGAACTCGGCCACATGGTCCCACTGCAAGGGAGGCTGGGAGTTGTATTTCACTGTGTTCTCAGGAAGAAGGGTAGTACTGGGTACACAGACACAGAGGTATATGGAAAATTAAACGAGTGGAAAAAAATAAGACAGTTATTAACTCTAGAAAAAACAAACAGTTGTACAAGGAGGGGAATAAAATAAAGACCATAATAACAGCGAACATTTGCCGTGTACTTACCGTGACTCTGTACTAAGTACTGTTTTTCTCGCTGCTCAGATGTTTCATATGTTAGTTTACTTAAAGCATCTATTTTTACAGGTGAATGTTGATTTTACCAAAATGTATCACTGTATTTATTGGAGAAATGGGACAGGGAATGAGAGTGGAGAAAAACCAAACATCATCTTTTATAATAGGAAAAATAATGTGGAAATAATGTCTACATTTTATAGTATCTGAAACTAAACAGTCAAGACATGATTGGTGATGAATGTCATTTGGAAATAAAGAGATGGACATCAGTAGTAACAATTGAAAGAGCAAACGCTGCAGGATGAGCAGTTCAGGTGTGGGGTGATTGCCCTCCTGCTACTGTTCTCTCCAGGCACAATATACAAGTATCTGTTATAAGAGAAACTGTCAGGAGAGAGAAAATGGAGAGAAAATGGAAGCGATGTGTTCATAATGTACACCTTATTTTCATGCAGAACAGAGATGGTTTTGTAAAAATCACTAAATAATGGAGCCTCACGTGGAAGGAAAGGAGCTAAAAACAGATTTCCAGACCTGGATTTGCACGATACTTTATTGGCCGAGTCAAACTGTGTGTGTACTTCAAATTTTAATGAGAATGATGATCTCTTAACAGTTACTCTGACTTCTAAATTCTAGGTGTTAGACTGATTTTTGTTTTTAAACTGTGTCTTAATCTGACAGTATGGGCTTCAAAGCTAGTATTGCATGCAGCCAAATGCCTTAATTCTTGCCCGATATCCTGGGTCATAGTCCCTTAGCTACATGTTTTCTTAGTACCAGTTTATATAAGTAGTCAAATTAGTTTAATCATTTGCATCCAGTAGTTTTTTTTTTTAACCAATGAACATACAACAGAAAAACACAGAAGTCACAGTGTACATACAGCTTAATGAACTTCTACGGTGAACACAGCCTGGTTGCCAGCCCTCGGCTCAGGTCCAGAAACAGAACTTTACCAGGCACGCCTAGAACTGACATCAATGTGGACTAAAGTTGCAAAGTGATTAATTGATGATAAAGTTCTTTGTAGTATTAAGAATGAAACAGCCTAGGTGCCCATCAGCAGATGATTGGATCCAAAAACTATGGTACATCTACACAATGGAATACTATGCTGCCATAAAAAAGAAGGAATTCTCATCATTTGCAGCAACCTGGATGGAATTGGAGAACATCATGCTGAGTGAAATAAGCCAATCAATGAAAGAGAAACACCACATGATCTCACTCATTTGTGGATAATAAAGATCATTATAAACTGATGAACCAAAAGATAGATATAGAGACAGTAAAGCAACAAGCAGATTGTCAAATTTCAGCGGGGAGGGGAGGAGGATCTGGGGGAGATAATAGATCAACTGAAGGACTTGTATACATGCATATAAGTACAACCAATGGACATAAAGCTCTGGGGAGGGAGGGGATGGGAGGGAGGGAGGGAGGGGGGAAAATAAAATAAAATTAAAATTAAAAATAAATAAATAAATAAATAAATAAATAAATAAATAAAATAAAAATAGAAACAGAAAAAAAAGAAAAGAATGAATTTATCTCCCTTTGACTGATGAAATTGTGTTAATTTCTGTTATTTCCAAAATTGGTCAAAGACTATGAACTTTCAGTTATAAAATGAATAAATTCTGAGGATCTGATTTATAGCAGGGTGACTATCATTAGTAATACTGTGTGTATACTTGAAATTTGCTCAGATCTTAAGTGTTTTCACCACACACAGGTAACTATGTGAGGCAATGACTGTGTTAATTTGATAGTGGTGAATGTTTCATAGCATATACATATATCAATTCAACATGTTGCATTCTTCAAATATATACAATTTAATTTGTCAGTTTATCTGTCAAGAAAATGGCAAGAAAACAGCAGAACATTACCGTTATCCCAGAAGCCCCTTCCAGTCGCTTCCATGAAAAGATCAATCTCTACCTGACTTCTAACCTCCTGGATTAGGTTTTGAACAAATCATAAATGATATCTAGTAGTTGTATAAAATCATACATGTAGACACATGTACTCACATATTTTCTTTAAGTAAAAAAAATAAACATGTATGCATAAACAATTGTATACATTTATGCTTTTAGATTTTTTTTTTTTTTTTTTTTTGTGGGAGAGGGGTTGCCAGTTCTGTTTATGGCTTCCCAAGGTTACACATTTAAATTTGGATCATATGAGAAGTATATTATTATTCCTTTACTGTTTCTTAGGACTCGTCGTAAAGGCATGATGATCTAATAGGAAAACTGTTATTCCAGGTCCAGTGGCACTGCAGAGCGAGGATGGTGGCGGGAGCCAATTTCTACATTGTTGGACGGGATCCCGCTGGCATGCCTCATCCAGAAACGGGGAAGGACCTGTACGAGCCAACGCACGGCGCCAAAGTGCTGACAATGGCCCCTGGCCTAATCACGCTGGAAATAGTTCCCTTCCGTGTTGCCGCTTACAACAAAAAAAAGAAGCACATGGACTACTATGACTCTGAACAGTAAGTTTTACGTCCTCTGCACATATCTGTGAAATACCTGTCTTCTCAGCTGTCCCAGGGCTTTCACGTGCTGTCTCATCTTTACAGCTTCACTGATGACCAGCTTCGTTGTACCCACTTCAGAGAAAGGCAGACCAAGGAAACTAACTTCTCGATATCCCAGAAATTAGAAATAAAAATCGAATATGGTTTTATGATTACAGGAATTTTGTCTTGAAGTATTTAAAGGCAGAATTGACATTTCTCTGTCCACCATATCTACTGTACCTTAGCATACAGAAGTGGTCCGAGGATTTAGTGATGAACATTGCTCTGCTAAGCCTACAACATTTATATAAGTGAGAAAGTTTTTATTTTTTAATATATATTTTATTGATTTTTTACAGAGAGGAAGAGAGTGGGATAGAGAGTTAGAAACATCAATGAGAGAGAATCATCGATCAGCTGCCTCTTGCACACCCCCTACTGGGGATGTGCCTGCAACCAAGGTACATGCCCTTGACCGAAATCGAACCCGGGACCTTTCAGTTGGCAGGCTGACACTCCATCCACTGAGCCAAACCGGTTCGGCTATAGTGAGAAAGTTTAATATTCTTGCAATCACCATGTGACAGGCACTATCCTAATTATTGTACAGATGTTAATTATTCCCTACAGCAATCTTATGAGGTAGGTGCTGATATTATTCCCACTATATAATTAGTAGTAAGCTGAGGCATACAAAGGTCAAATAACTGTAAAAGGTCACGTAATCAATAAATGTCAGCCCAACAATTGGACCTCAGCGTGGTGGCTCCACAGTTGGTGCTCCTGACCAGTAAGAGTGCAGTTTTTTCTTCAGAGATCTTAGGAGGAACAATAAACTAGCAGGCTTTTAGGATAAATTATTGGTAGTCTTAAAGAATGGATTTATTGATTGATGAAATTGTATTAATTTCTATCTGGAGATACTATCAGTAGGTACTACACTCCATGATTTAAAGTGGCAAGGTGAGACTTTAGAATCAGAAATCATGGGTTCTAGCTCAACCTTGCTGTAAGATTTGAGAGTCTCTCTGGCCTTATTCTTCATCTTAGGAATGATGGCTGTGGACAAGGTGATTACTGCCTTGCTCAAAATCTGTAGTTCTTTCCATGTTCTGTCGCACCTACTTATTTTTATGTCTTTATATATATATATATATATATATATATATATATATATAAATATATATATATATATATAAATTGATTTTTTTTACAGAGAGGAATAGATAGTTAGAAACATCGATGAGGGAGAAGCATCGATCAGCTGCCTCCTGCACACTCCCCACTTGATATGTGCCCACAACCAAGATACATGCCCTTGACCGGAATCGAACCTGTGACCCTTGAGTCTGCAGGCCAGCGCTCTATCCACTGAGCCAAACCGGTTAGGGCTATTTTTATGTCTTAGTAAGTGCTTGTACATATGGATTGTTTTCTTGATTGCTGCTTATTTAAATAGTATAATTATATCTGCTTATTTAGTATACCTGCTTTTTTAGTACAAGTTACAGTTCATGTTCAGTAAATAGAATCGATAATTATTTTTTATTTATGTTTTATCAGTGTCACCTCTACTGATGGGTATTAATTGAAAATTGACTGTAGTAACCTTCCATCTGAGAGCTCTCATTCTTTTTTCCATGGTCGTTTACAGTTGACTCTATATTCAGAAGTGATCTTGACCTGACCCTGACCCCTGTATGTTCAGTTGGTGTGGCCCATTTTGTAACACTGGGAACAAGAAAAGAAAAGAAATCTTTTTAAAAATAAAAACATTCTCTTGTTTCTAAGAGGGCCATAAATGTGTCATTTAATTTATTTGAGATAATGATAAGTTGTCTGAATAAGGAAAGACTATTACCAGAGGAGTTTGTTGGCTTCTAATTTAATAACATAAATAATTCTGGAGAAAATGCACAATTTTAGGTAATAGTAGGCTTTCTGAGTGACCAATTGTAGCGAAACTACAGGAAAATCTTGAATCAATGAAGAGAAAAGGCTTACGTAACTGGTATGGGCAAGCATAAAGCACGAAGTGTTCCAATGGCCTAGTTGTGGAGTTAAAGACCAGAGCAGTTCTAGAGCATTATTTTCTGAACACCTGAAATGTGGCCCAAATTCTAGTATACTCCTGAACGACACCATGAGACGAATTTACAATCGCCAGAACATTTTTACCCTTGTACAAAATCAGGGTTTGCCAACACCTAGAAATAGTTCCAAATTGTGGTAGGTTTAGTTTTATTTTGGCCTAAGGATATGTGTGTGTGTGTGTGTGTGTGTGTGTGTGTATGTGTGCTTACGTATATATGTATATATTCAGGGTGGGGCAAAAGTAGGCTTACATTATTCGTATGGAAAGTAGAATAGTAATTAATAAATAATAATGCCAGAATACACTCTGTTTCATGTACTCACAACTGTAACCCTACTTTTGCCCCACCATATACACACACACACACACACACACACACACACACACACTATGATTTCACTGTAAAAAAAAAAAAGCAGCTATAAAATTCATGTGCTAAGAGTTGTAAATAGACTGTTTCTACCAAAGCGATGCCTTAGAAGCTTAATAAAAAAGAATTTTAAGAAAAGTAAAAGCAATTATAGTAAACCTTGAACTATATTACCACAAAAGATTATTGAAAGTAAAAATTAAGGAAAGTAAAAATGTTTAGAATATAATGCTGTCCTTTTGTGATTAAAATTATTCAGGGTCACCAACAGGGTTTCTAACTTAACGATAGTCCCCCTTAACTGCAATTTTGCTTTCCATGGTTTCATTTACCGTGCTATCAACTCTGGTTCGAAAATATTAAAGGTAAATTTCAGAAATGCACAATTTGCAAGTTTTAAGTTGCACACCATTCTGAGTAGTATGATGAAATCTCAGACCATCTCATCTGCCCTGCCTGGGAATATGAATCATCCTTTTGTCCAGCATATCTGTGCTGTGTGTTTCCCGCCTGTTAATCACTTAGTAGCCATCTCCGTTATCAGATTGAATGTTGCAGTATCACAATGCTTGTGTTCAAGGAATTCTTATTTTACCTAATATTAGCCCCAAAGTGCAAAAGTAGTGATGTCTACAATTCGGATATGCTAAAGACAAGCTGTAATGTGCATCCTTTGAGTGAAAAAGTGAGTACGGTTATATAATTTGAGAGGGGCCACATTTGCATAACTTAATACAGTGTACTACAATAGTATTATTCTATTTTATTAGTAGTTGTTGTCAATCTCTTGCTGAGCCTAATTTATAAGTTAAGCTTTATCATAGGTATATATGCATAGGAAAAAACATGGTTTATACAGGGTTCAGTACTATCTGGGGTTTCAGTACCATCCACTTGGGAGGGTCTTGGAATGTACACCCTTCAGGTAAGTATACATCTACTGTACTTATTCTAGGGAGAAACCTACTTTGGAAATTCTTTTGGAAGCTCCCCAGCATTGCCTTTCTACAAGTTTATAAAACATGGAGTGTCAGAGATGGAGTGCTGGGCCAGGAAACTTTGCTTCTCACCCAGCATGCAATGCATTGGTTTAATTGTGTACGACAGTGTTTCCGAAACTTTTGACATATGTGTACCCCTTCTATAATTTTCGTAACGCTGAGTACCCCTCGTACTCATGAGAACGTAGAATTAGGCGCAGCTAAGCACGGGGCAGTGCATATCCCCACCAAACTCCGGTGCAACGCGTACCCCCACCAAACTCTTCCCGTACCCTCGGGGTACGTGTACCACACTTTGGGAAACACTGGTGTATGAGATGTTTTGAAAGTAATGACCAGTCACTTACAGAGAGAGGAGAGAAAAATAGAATCATTCAACTAGTGGCCAAATGCATAAAACTTAGGTGCATTTACAGGAGACAAAACTAAAGAGAGCCAGAGCTTTTCTTTTACATGATCCTTGTGCCTCTGTTTCATTACTTTGGCTTCTTTGCATGATCAGCTGATTTAATCACATGCAGGACCCTAGAACTCATCTGTATGTAGTTAGTTGACTGATGGGCTGGGAGGCCCTTGATAACTTTCATGTTTCCTGGGTAATATTGCTCTAAGTCTCTCTTTTAATCATTCAAAAGCTAAATAATTACATCAGTTCTCATAAGATTTTCCAATGATGAATTCTATATTAGTTGCATGAGCAGCTCATTTTCTTGGAATTTTTTTTGAGTTAGCAAATCTTAATAAATTGTAACTTGGGAGGCTTTAAAACTGCCTTAGTTTTCTAAATTTTTACATTGTGTTCAAATATAATTAAGTTGATGGGAATATGTTGGAAAGTGATTAAAATTTTGTGGAAAGGCAATAGTCTTTGATGTAGTGAGAAAACAGTTATTAATTATGTGCATATGATGTTGGCTTAAATTTGATTAATGGACATTGTTCAATGCCAACTTTTATGTAATTAATGATTTTATAGCTTTTGATTTCACTAAATACCAGTGTAAGACAAGATTTAGGGAGAAAAAACCAGCTTCATAAAAATTTCAGGCAAGATATTATTGATAGGAATTATGATAAAAATCATCTGTTTATACTTAGGAAGTTAAGTAGGTCCATATTAGCTATAATAGAGATTCAAAAAAATTTAGTTTTAGGACTACAAGATTAAAGTCCTTTCTTTCAGATATTGCAAACTTTCAGGGATACTTTTTTGGGGTGTAACTTTTTTCCCCCCTTTATGCAGTAAATCTTTGTATTTGAGTAAATGTAAGATTATGATTCACATGCTTGAAATAGTAACTAAAAAAAAAAAAAGCACACATGAGTGAGTATGCCTTTTGGAAATGGATAAATGAAGGGACAGGTGGATGTAAATGTTTGCTGTTCAGTTATTTCCACATTATCAATAGAGTATTTTTTTCATAGTTTTAAAATACTGGCATATACTCAAAATCATACAGTATTAGTGTTATTAAAAAAATACACATTCTGTGTCAGGGGTGGGGGT